AAAAATCATGGTTCTGTACTTATTTTAATTGAGAGACTACATGGAATATTTGTTCTTTTCAAAATTAATCTGTCACACAGCACAACTATTTTAAGTGCACTACAAAAATAAAAAAGGTGGTTAAAGATGGAGAGCAGTCACCTTAAATGTCCACCTTCCCTTAAACATACTGAACAATATAATCAACAGAAAGGCAATTTGATCTAGACTAGACATAAATTAGGCAAACTAGAGGACAAGTGTTTAGAGTTGTAAGCGGACAGAAGTTACAACAAATATTACTTTATTGGACATGAAAAATTACTTCAACTTAAAGTTGGGTTACACTCCTTAAAAACAAGATCAAATAAACAATACCTCTTGAAACCAACACACCTTTTATAGAACATGAGGCAGTTTTTTATATTTGAACAAATTTGAGGTAAAGAGTTTTTCTTTGTCATATACTTTTTTTTTCTCACAAAATTAAATTTTTGTAACTTGGGTCCCTATTTCCCCAAGAATGACAGAGTTTGATCCCTGCCTCCCCCAAAATGCTAGGTCTCTCTTTCTCAGTTGCTGCTCATTATGGTTGCTTCACAGTTCGTTTAAAAATATTGAGCTCCTCACACTTTGGGGATAAGAAATATGAAATGGTGCAGAAAAGAGCTGGGTTTGGTTCGGACGAGATAGGGAAAATTGCAGCTAGTATTTCACAAGCAGAACAGTTGCAGAACCCCAGCAAACAAACGAGTACACATGCAACCTCTCCCATTCACACACTCAGTAGAATTCATTAAATAATTTCTTTTTGACCATTAAGTGCATTGTGTCATATATGGTTTTTGCCATAATTTCAAGTAAATAAATTTATGTCTGCAGAAAAAAGAAAATGAAAGTCTATGAAGGGTGCAAAGTCATTAACTAACCTTTGTAAATACTGGATTTGGTCTCACTTCTTCGATCCATTCATACCATTCATGTACTCCGTAGGCTTGCACTGGAGTGAATTCAAGCATACGCATTAAGAGGCCTACAAACATTGTAAAAGTAACTGTAAGATGTAGGGTCAGTGGATTACACATAAGCAAGTATAGCAAGTGATACACACATGCCACAACATCCAAGTACCCTTAACCACAGCCCCACGTCACATAAAAGTGAGAAATGTACAAGCAATCAAACAAAACAAATCTTCGAGAATCTTCTAAATTCACTCATTGGTGCTTTCGTTTTGTCTCAGTTTGTGCAAGTGAGATCCACTGATAAAACAGGCCACGATACATCTTGGCAGGACGGTACGTAACTCTACGACAACATTTCAGTCCTTTCCTTCAAAATCAAGCAGCAGTTCGTACTCAGTGTGATCGAGAGTACCGTATGCATGAACTCAGATAGGACATGACCACACAGGACAAGCGTACAGGATACAAGTCCAATATCGAGGGCAGAAGTCACACAAACATCCAAGCACCTAATTTTACAACACAAGGAGAAAATGTTCAGTTCTGAATCCTTAAATGACCGCGACCCCTTTTATTATTAGGAAAATAGCCTTTATAGAACTGTTTTTAAAAACACCACACTGTTCATCTGGTCTTTATAACCAATGTGTTCTCGTATCAAATTGTTTCTCGTTTTCTCTAAATAGCATTTTTATCAGAAATCAGTGCAATAGAGCAATTTCAGAAAACAAAAGAATATGTTTCAAAGCTCAGTTACCAGTCATTACTGTGCCTGCTCCCCTAAAGCCTTTGAATAAAATACCCGTCCCACCCCGTGCCGCCGCGTCTGTCCAAAACCCTCCCAACAGCCCCAGCAAAACACTCACATTTAAGCAGAATTAGAAAAAGTGCAATCCTCCTTTTGAGGTAACAACCCTTCCCCTTCACTCGTCATCAAAATCTCGGAATGCAACATGGGTCTGCGTTTGGTCTGCACCAGAACATTAAGGCTCCTTTCCCGCCTCCACATGTTTTACCGCATCTAAAAAAACATAATGTGGCCCGCTGTGTTCGCAGCATGACCGAGGATGTATGGCGGGGACTTTGTACTACAAAAACGATTTAAAAAATAAAACTCAATACATTTGATAGGCTAAATCTTTATCATCATTTAAGTGAGGTCGAGATAAAGTTTGAAACGACAATCAAGATCTGAGGCACGAGGAAACCAGGTGTTTTTTTTTCTTCAGGACAGAGGTTGTAGACTCAAAAACTAAGGCAAATATTTCAAGTTAATTTCCTTTCTCAAATAAAACATCAACATACATTTTAGAAAGAAACAAAATTACCCGAGCCTTAGCCTAAGCCAATCCTATTTGACCCAAGAGTGCCGTATCATCTCAGTTTTAAACATTACTCGAATTCAAGCTGTATTGTACCTACTGAATCGTCCAGCATTAAAAACCATGTGCAATTCGACAACTAGCTTGTACAGGGTTCATATAAAGCAACGATTAAGGCAATATGTGTCTGTGCTCCTTATATGGCTAACATACCAATACTCCAGCCTCAGTTTTGCAATTCATGCTGCTTGCTCTCCATTCCCTCTCTGTCAGCAATGTCCTCCCTGAGTCGCCTAATTTCAACAGTCCCACCGACCATAGGATTTTCTCGTGTTTGTTTGTGTGAATACTCCTAGGCATGGCTTTCTCTTGTTTAACAGGCTCAGAAATTTGGAAAACCACTCTGTAAACAGTCCAGACTTTGGACGCCAAAGCAGTTCATTGTCTTTCTCTCTTCAAGAGGCAGACTCTATGTAAACGCCACCGAACAGATGAGTATAGACCTAATCTCACACCTCGAATTTCTCTTCTCAACTGATAAAAAATAAACCCCACGGAAGGAAGGCACTTCTAAAGCAAAACAGCTGTGTCTTGCGATGAATGACTTGGTATGGGAGTGCAATCGGTAGAATCCGTTTGAATCCTCTTGACATCCTCTAACACGGGATGCAATTGCACGTTTTATGTTCGTACCTAAGTGATTAGCCTTCGACGGTAAAATATGATGTCCGCTAACTATAAAAGCAAGTGCTAATATGCCCCAACCTGGTGCAGACCGAACTAGACGCCATGACGCCATCTCAAAGCAGCATACAACTCTGTACATCTCCCCCCCAGTCTCGACTTCTGCCATCTACAAGCCCACCTCAGCCAACCTGGTGCTCCCCGCGGACAATGTGCGAGGAGAACTCGTAGCGGTCCTGGCTGCGGTGCCCGCAGATGTTGCACTCAAAGGGCTGGCGGAAGCCGTGGCAGCCCATGTGGATGGTGAACATGACATGGTCCAGGAAGAAAATGCGACAGTGCTCGCAGCGGAAGGAGCGCACCGGCCGCCCTTCCCCATCCACCACTTGCATGGCTTCCCTCGCTGGTGGCGTGCGCGGGCTCGCCTTGGTCAGTAAACCCCCAGGAACCCCTTTCTCCCTGTCCCCTTCCATGTCCATATCTTTGGCATGACTAGGACTGTGCCGCTCTCGCCCGCGGTGGTTCAAGTTTCCCGGTGGCACCGAGGTGATGACGTACTGTTCCTCTGCCATGCTCTCAGTGTCTGTCGAATCTTGGTAACCGTTGCTTGGCGAGGTGGCGCGGCTGCGGGTAGAGGGCACATCTTCATGACCCTCGCCGGCCTCCCTCCCAGCCAGGCTCATGGAGATGCCCCCTGCACAGTTTAGACGCTGCCCTAGAGGAGTTATGTGAGGGTATACGGAGCTGATGACTGGGGTGAACTCTGAGAGGCAGGCGGAGTGGGGAGGCATCCGCAGGGAGTGGGAAGGATCCACATCATTGCTGCCTCCTCTCGGTGCCCGCAGGAAACGCCCTCCCATGCCTGCTAAAGCAGCGGTGTCACCCTCGGGGTGCGAAAGCAACATGTCCCCTTCTTTATCAGCATTGGGGTCAAGTTCATAAGGTGCTTCGGATATATTCAGTCGCATGTGCTTTTCACCTAGAAAATCAAGGAGCATCAGTCTCATTGGTCTTCAGTAACCACGAAATTTCACTGAAGTGATTTTTTTTTTTTTTTTACAGTTAAGCAATAACCAATAACATTTTTAT